TAAGGAGTTCATAGCCTACAGTGGCGTCGATCAACTGCTCGATTCTCGGGAGTGGATAGCAGTCTTTGGGGCATGCCTGGTTGAGATCGGTGTAATCAACGCACATCCTCCAACTTCCATTTGGTTTCTTAACGAGGACTACATTCGACAGCCATCGAGGGTATTTCACCTCGGTAATAAACCCTGCCTCTTTAAGGCGGTCGACCTCATCGCCGATCGCCATCTGTCGGTCGGGGGTGAACTTCCTCGGCCTTTGCTTCACTGGCCTAGCCTCGGGGTTGATGTTGAGCTAATGCTGGGTCATGTCTAGGTCGATCCCAGGCATCTCCTTAGAGGACCATGTAAATACATCGGCATTTTCTTTCAAGAAGTCTATGAGCTAGAGCTGATTTGCTTTGGGGGGTGCCGTCCCAATTTTTACGGTCAAATCGGGCTGGTTCCTTTTCAATGGTACCTTGGTGAGTTGCTCGAGAGGCTCCAGACGCCTCGACGCTACAGCTCCTTCTCAGGGATCCAGGACTTGACGGGGGCATGACTTCTCCGGGAGAGTGACCGCTGTAAGATAGCACCGCCTGGATTCTCCCTGATCGCTTCGGGATTCCCTGATCCCTACCGAAGTTGGAAACTTAATGGCTTGGTGGTAGGTGGACACCACTGCTTTCAACTTGTTGAGCATTGGTCGGCTGATGGTAGATCGACTACCATGAAGGTGGTCATTATTGTCTTGGCCCTCGGCTCTTCCTCGATGGTGGCAGGGAGGATGGCTGTCCCGAGCGGGGAGATAGAATCCCCCATGAATCCAGTGAGTGCTGACGCCATGGGGGTAAGGTCCTCATTGGTTAAGCCAAGCTTCTTGAAGGCGTCGAGGTATAGCACGTCGGCAGAGCTCCCGGTATCAACCATTACCCTTTTGACCCGAGCGTTGGCAATCCGAATGGAGATCACCAAAGCATCATCGTGATGGGAGCGCTCGACCTCTTCGACCCCGAAAGTGATTTCAAGCTCGAGCTCAGGTCGGGGACATTTCTCGACCGTGCTCCGGGCGTAGGCCTTCCTCGCCGTGGTGCTGCAACCGTCAGTTGCCAGTCCTCCGGAGATGACATCGATCTATCTTTCGATGGGTCCCCTAGGGTGCGGGGTTAATTCTTGGGGTTCCTTGAGATAGCACCCGAGGTGACCTCTTTGGATCAGGTCCTCGATTTGATTCTAGAGGTTGCGGTAGTCTTCCGTGTCATAGCCGTAGTCTCGGTGGAACCTACAATATTTGGACCGGTCTTTGTGAGTAGCTTTCATGGGGTTGGGCTATCGCAAAAGGCCCTTCTCCCTGATATGGAGGAAGATCTTGATACAAGATGTGTTCAGAGGGAGAGGTGGGGGTCTCAAGAGTAGCAGCTCTTGTCGGTCGGGCCTCCGACGGGGTTGCACCGGGGTTGTTGTGGTCGTTCCTCGGGATTGTTCCGCCCTTGGCCTCTTCCCGTACGTGTGCTTTCTTGCCACCAAAGCTTCGGCGGCGATGTACTGATTGGGGTGCTAGAGCATCTTGGGGATGGTTGATGGTGGCTTCTCGATCAACGACCAAAAGAACCTTGAAGGCTTCAAACCTATCAGAAACGCCTACATGATTAAAGAAGGATGAGCATCCGGGAATCCTTGGATTTCAGTGGCGAAACATGCCACGAACTGAGAGAGCGACTCATCTTTGCGTTAGGATAATGCGAGCAAGGTGGCCATGGAAGGTCTGGGTCGCATGCTGACGAGGAAATTCTGCTCGAACTCCTTGGCGAGCTGGTCGAAAGACGAGACCGAGGACGAGCGTAGCCGGCTAAACCACGCTCATGCCGGTCCCCTAAAGGTGGTCGGGAATGCCCGACACATCAATGCATCGGAGGTGCCATAGAGGGCCATATGAGCCCGAAACGCGGCGATGTGCTATGCGGGATCAAAGCCGCTGTCATACGTCTCCAATGCCAGTAGCCTGAAGTTGAGGGGTACATGCTTGTCCTATATTTCCTGAGTAAAAGGGGATTCGCCCGAGTTGCCTTCGCCCGTCTCACCCCTTGACTTCTAGAACTCACGTTGGAACTCGTTCAGGCATTGGTTTACCCGGGACAACTGGATCCTGAATGAGTCATCCGCCGAGTCGGACGATATGGTATCAGGCTCGAAGTGGGGCGGAGCGATCCGGCAGGGTGCATGTATGCTCTGCTCTTGGGCTTCTCCTGTCCCGATTTGCTCCCTGCTCGGTCTTTATCATATCGGGTCAGTCAGGGGAGTCGCTAGCCGAATGATCTGAGGAATGAGTGGGATGATTGTCTGCATCATTCCCGCCATCACCTGTACTTGCTTGGTCAGGCCGAGGAACGCTTCGGGCGAAACGACCGAGGGTCCCGTGGTAAGCCCGGGGGGTGATAACCCCGGGTCATTGAACAGGCGCTAGTAGCGATATGGTGTCAAGGCCGAGATTCTCCCGTCTCTGAGGACAGGGAGAGGCTGATCTCCGGGCCTGACAAAGGAGTGATCGGCTGATGGTTCTCCCTCGGGGAGAGATCCTGCGTGATTCTCCTACGACATGACCCTCATTCTAGCACCAAAAATATTGATGAACTGATGCACCGTGGCTGATGAGTCAACACGGCTTGGTTCACGGGACAATGTCGGGAGTCTTTGGTCGGTTTAGCGGGATGCCGAAGTCGGTCGAGCCTTTTAGTCGGTGTGTTGGCACCACAAAATTGATACCTTTTCGTCGGGATGCTAATTGGGGCGTCGGGAGGAAGGACACCTCTATCAATCGGGATGGCCTCACCTCAGACATTATCATTTTCCTGCATAGAAGGCCCCGCCGGGTCGTTACCGACTGTGGCCCCTCGACAAGTAAGTCAGTGTGGGGTTCTACTTTCTGCCTCCCTTTTTTCTCCTCCATGGTCGGATGCCGGCCATAGACTTTTATACTACTGTACGAGGGTCGATCGTACATGGATTTGGTGTGACGACCGATCCTCGAGGGATGAGATGGTACCTTTGTACGGTCGCCATCCCGCGACATGCGGAACGGCGCCATGCGGTGTTGTCCCGGGCTTATCGGGACGGGACATACTGAGTGGCATCTTGATACGGTTGCTGGCTTGGCGCGTGGGGGTGCTTCTCTTGTTGACTTGACTGTGGCATAATCTGACATCAATTGTGACGTAGCCTAGGCCCAAAGTATACCTTATCAGGACACACATTGAAGGCAAGTGAATACCATCTAAGTACATGTCTACCTAATACTTGATCTTATGCTTCCTTTGATGGACTTTGTTCTTTTAAAGTGGTCAAGGATGATTATGCCTTTTACCATCTAAGTAATTGTCAGAATTGCCAACAATATCTTGTTGGTTATATCTTGATAACTGAATGAGCAATTACTTCATGTAATTGGACAAGTAAATATCTTGCTATCCCTGCATGGAAAGGCACTGTGAATTTCTAATGGTATCATAAGGCATAATTTAGAGCTAGAGTTTACTGCAAGCAACAATTAGTGAGTGAGATACTTTTTTTATCTTCTCTGAACAAGTGTTATAATTCAGTGTAACTTTATATATGCTGTCTCTGTGTGACCTATTTTCTCCTCCCTTCAGAAAAACAGAAAATGAACCTGCATTTCCATCGAACTATTGGATTTGTGTAGTAGCTTTAAACTTTGTTTTCCATTGTCACCACCTTGTGCTTATTGACATATCTAATATTATTTGTTGCACTTTATTTACATGCTAAATAGAGCTGAGAGTGGCAGAGTATGGTTCCCAATCATTTTGTTTGCTTGCCTACTTACATACATAAACTTATCCAGCATTTATGAAGATCTTATAGAAATTATGATAATTCTAGCTGATCAATCATTTGGAATGCCATGTAATATTTTCTGTTTCATTTAAGAACAAGAACAATCGTTCCACTGATGAAACACAAAGTTTAGCAAGCAGTACATGGTAATGGATCGTATTAACAGATTGGTTGCAGTATTCCAATAGAGAGAATGTATGTACACCAATGCCAAATGATCATCTTGTGTAAAGGCTATGTAGCTCTTATTCTTTTCAAGCAACGTCCATCACATTATAGATTCTTTGTAAAACTATGTTAAACATGTGTCATGCTAATGTAGGTGATCTTGCATGTACTGCTAAATGTGATTTTCTATGTGTGACAAACATGCTAACATCCGGATGTCTTAATAAAAATACATAAATCATATATATATATATATATATCATGTTTTATATAGGTTAATATAGGAGAAGGAGGGGAAGTCGGGGAAGGAATTTGTATTTTGATTTCCCCAAATTAATATATACTATTATAATTGCATTGCATATATTAATTTGTGTTTTTTTCTGAATCAAACCAAGAAAAAGAAAAGGTAAACATTAAAAATCTAGATATGAAATATCTTAAAAAAATGACTTTTGTTGGTAGATGGAAACTTTATTGGGTACGTATGAGTTGTTACCGTCATGGCATTAAATGTTCATCTGACTCGAGTGAGTCGATGGTATTCCCGCGATTATGCCGTCTGTCCTCCAAAACAAGTTCGGCACGGAGACATCGAACACCATTTTTTGTCCCACGTGTCCGTTGGGACCCATCCTCTCTGCCCTATCAGTGGTCGGAGCTTGGCGGGTCTGACCTGCTCGGCCGAGAAAGAAGAGCCCCGCCCGCGGGGGACCAGCCAAAGAGGTCGTATCACGACATGCTCATTCCTCTCTCTCTCTCTCTCATGTCACACGTAGTTAAATCACGACATAAGCTGTCTATAAATCTGCTGCCAGTCTCTTCTTCCTCAACTATCCCTTCGTTCAC